AACAGACTAAAGGGCTTGAAGCAATCCCTTGCTTAAAGTAGTTTACTGCTAAAATGCAAATATCCCTGGCATGGTCATTGTGCCTTAGGCATCTGCACATGCACTAACTACTGCCACCTTGTGATCCTCTCTTGTAACATAATTTTGGTTCTGATAAAGTGATGGAGGCTCAGGATATGTTATTAAAAATAAAGAAAGGGGAGGGGATGGGAGAAAATAAGCAAAGGCAAGTTTGAAGTTAAGGAGTGTCCTGCGCAGAGCTCAGGAGCACCGGGAAGGACCTTAAGCAGGTGGGGAAGAAAGGGAGACAGGAAAGTGTGAAGACATGAACAGACAAACTTGACAGGGCATCATTTTATCTCAAGCCCCGGTTATATCTGTGAATGCTTATTACCAGATGTACAGATCTTGTGACCAGGTAGGTAAGGCAGCTTGACTAGTGACATGGAGAATGTGGCTCTGAATTCATGCATGTCATCTAAAATATAAGTGGCCAAGTCTTCCTATGTGGCTGAGTATTCCCACACCTGTAAATACTGGACACCAAATGCTAATAACAATATAATTTGAGTTTTGCCTACTTACACCATTGGGAATGGGTTTGCAGTCTTCGGTTAAGAATTTAAAATTCTCCTTGGAACAATTAGTTTGCTGAATTAAGTAAGTAACTTCATAGTTCCATCCAGACACCACCTGAAACAATGTTGAATTGAATAGTTAAAGGGCAGTTTAAACATTATTCACTGTGTTATGAGAACTTAGAATACTGCCTGGCATATTGCAAGTACTCAAAAATGTAAACTCTTAGTACTAGGCAAAAGTCATGACTGAATAAATATTGAGCACTTTATGACTCTAACACTCCTCAACACACACACACACACACACACACACACACACACACACACACACACACTGACATCTGAAAATAAAAAGCAATATATATGTGAGTTACTGTATTTTCTTAAGAAAAACATAGCAACATTTCCTCTGCCAGGCAACAGAAAAATAATGTCCTTTTGAATTTTGTGAAATATTAATAATATTCTTCTAAGACCTAGAATCTAGGTGGTTAAAAACACTTTGGAGCTAGAATGGCCTTTACTGGTAAGTTCTCAGGTTCCCAGACAGACAGGCAGTAAGCTTTGTGCTGCTCTATCTTGGGCTGGTCCTACCCCGATCGCTGGCTATGAACATAATTGAGTAGAACATGCATCTTGTATGAGGGGAAGTTGGATGGTCTATTAAAAGCAGGGAATGTTACTGACTAAAGTAAGTTCCTCATAATTAGACACTGAAATACAAGGGACCCAGTCAGCTGTCAGTAAAGACTTAGTGAACTGGGTCCATGAAAAGGCCAGATTTCCAAGTATTTACTTTCTTATAATGATATGAAAACTGTAATTTAGAGAGTGCTCAGAAAGCCATGCCAACTGTTTGGGTTCCATTTCATATTTTGGAGCCATGTTTGACTCATGATGGCTAAGTGATAATGTACTTTTCTTAAAACCTTAAGGCTAGAATGTTCTTTTCATATCACCATCTCTAAGAAAAACATGTATTTCTGACTAACCATTCAATATAAACAACCTCAGAGCCAGGGGTTTTATTAGCCACACTTTTGCCCTTTATATATTGTAGTATCCCAATCACTTTGACTCAAGAGAAAGCGCTTTACCTCCTTTGCCAGTCAGATGTGGACATAAAAGAGCTTCCTCACCACCAGTCATGGAATCATAGGTTTTCTATTGACCAGTGGTTTATTTTAGGTAATGAAACCCTAAATATAAAGATCCAACACATTTTATCAATACTGTGAGAAAAGGAAACTAAAGCACAAACCTGTCTCTGTGCCCTTTCTACTTCTTTAAGAGCAAAGAGGTGGGAATGACCAGTGTGGTTGTTAAAATGTTCAATGGCATGTCTCAGAACAGGGTCGAAGTCCTGGGGGACAGTCCTCATGGTGTGCAGGCAGCCATAGCAGTCATACTGGGATGTCACCACAGGGCCCTTGGCTTGACAAAGAAAGAGTAGGCAAAAGGGTAGTGTTCATGAGCGAAACCCACATTCAGATACTTTGTCCTAAATAAGTAAGATAATTTTGAAGACCCTTGGTAAACAAACTTTCTAGTACATTCTGGTATGTATTAGAAAAAGAGAACACGTGACTGCTTTTTTGTCAGGGGAGAAAAAAAACCTACCATTGACTTAGGAACATCTTATGTGCATACTATTGTGCATAATTATTTTAAATTTCTTTAGAAATCTTTGTAAATTATAGAAATAATACATTAATTTATCCTCTTATAAAAAAGTAAAACAGTACAGATATATCATTATTTATTTTTCAGTGTTAATTAAAGCTCCTTGAATCCTCCTTCAGGATATAATATGTTTTGTATCAATTCATTTCAACAAACCTGTAGATATTTTGCTCCTTCTGTAATATGTCAGCTGCTGAGCGAGACTGTGTGGTTACGTTAACTTGTTAGTAGTGGTCACTGTGGTGTGTTGGGGAGAACAAGAGACTTGGTTGGAAAGTTGTAAGGAGGACATTCTGATAAAAGGGAAGTGTGTGGAAGACCGCCTACCCTGTTTATCTGAATTCCGACTTAGGGGAGACATAGGGGAGTGTCAAAATCGGTGCCTCTAATTATTTCCTGACCTTTTTAAACAAGTCTGATTACATACAGACCCCAGGTGTTTACTGGAATCCTAATGCTTAATCCCTCGATGCCCTTGCATAGATGACAATGTAAACACCTGTGTCCTCCCAAGATTACTCACCCTACTGATTGTATCAAAAGATAAAGACTGCAATAAAAGGCTAACAAGGCAGACAATTGAGGCTGTTCTGGCCGCTAAAGCCAGGAGCCCCTTAGCCCTCTCTTTCACAGTCAAATTGTGTCTGAGTAATCTGTTCATTCATCGTTCAGGGGCTGCTGGTCAGCCCCCCGCAGTAGTGAAGGTGTTGAGCAAAGTGGAGTGGGAGAGACAGAACTGCAGATGGATATTTCAAAATAATTCGGCAAGAGCTTGGGAAGGCAGGAGCCCAGAGTGAGCTCAAGAAAGACTTTCATGAGGAGAAGAGGCCTGAGCTAAGAAGGGTGTAAAGTGGTCAAGGTCAACTGGGCAACATAAAGTGTGAGCCTGAGAAGGAGGAACAGAGGGAGGAATGGCTCTCAAGAAAGCAGGGTGAGTCAGGGGCAGCATGTGGGATGCGGTGTATACTTTTTACCAGCCCTTAAAGCAGGAGCCAGGGACTGGCTATTGTGGTCTGGACAATTAATAGAGAGTCCTCTGGATGGAGAAACCAAGATGGCAGCATAGCTAAACACCTGAAATTGCTGCCTCACACAACCACTTCAAAAATACAACTAAAAGACAAAACGGACATCATCCAGAACCACAGGAAGGCTGGCTGAGTGGAAATTCTACAACTAGAAAAAAAGAGAAAAGCACACTGAGACTCAGAGGAGGTGCGGAAGTAAAGTGCAGAGGTACGAAGGTGCACGTGGAAAGGACTGGCAACTGAGGACACAGCACATGCGGAAAGGGCTGGCAACTGAGGACACAGCTGTTTGTTTCAATCGGGAGGGAGTCTCAAGCTCCCGAATGCTCTGAACACCAGTTGTGGGTGAGTCTCTGGGGACCCAGACTCACACGGGGAGAAACTGGACTGTCTGGCATCGGACAGAACTTGGGGGTGGCTTTCTCTCAGAGGTGCTTACAGCAATTACCGTGGAAGAGTGAGACCCGAGGCCTCTTAGAGCAGGGCTGAGGATCAGCCAAAGCTGTTTGCTCTGCCCTGTTGATTCCCTGAGACCCCGCCCCCCAGATGTGCACAGAGGCTTTTGCATATGAATGACCTGGCCCTTTACAATCTAAAAGTACCTAACTAACTGCAGCTGGGTCAGAGAGACCCAGAACATCCAAAAGAAGGCCCAAGGCCCCAAAGCAGCTTGCATTGCTTCACAGCTGGGCCTCATCTGGGCACCTCCAAACTCCAAACAAAGAAGAGGAATCTGCAGATCTCTCTGTACCTCCTGCTGGGTAACCTCAGGCAGAAGCTAAATTAGCACCTCCTTAGAGATTCAAGAGCCAGTGTACCCAGTGGTCAGAGTAGACCATCCAGATTACAACTCCTCAGATCCATTTTCTTAGGAGTGCTCACTCAGGGGGCAGACTCAGTGTGCACCAAGCCCCACTGAAGCAAGCCTTGCTCCAGAAGTGTGTCTCCAGCACAGAAGTTCTCCCACTATAACCTCAGCTAATTCTCACAGCCAATTGGCCTGGAGATCAATTCCTCCCAGTGATACCTACAACAATAAAGGCTTACCCCCAACAAGACTGTGCACAAAGCCCACAAAGGGGTGTACCAAGAGTGTCCACCTCAGGTAATTGGGGTGGCTGAGCCACTGGGCCCTATAGGACACCTAGCACACAGAGCCACTCTACCAACACAGGGAAGCAGCCAAAATGTGAAGACAAAGAAACAGGTCACAAATGAAAGAAATGGAGGAAAGCAAACGACTGAATATAGAGTTCAAAACCATGGTTTTAAGGTTTTTCAAGAATTTTCTAGAAACTGTCGATAAATTTAGTGAGATCCTCCATAAATCTAGTGAGACCCTCAAGGACCAACTAAAAATTAAGCACACACTGACTGAAATAAAAAAATACTATGCAGAGATCCAAAAGCAGACTAGAGGATCCCAAGAATCAAGTCAAAGATTTGAAATACAAAGAAGCAAAAAACACCCGACCAGAAAAACAAAAAGAAAAAAGAATCCAAAAATATGAAGATAGTGCAAGGAGCCTCTCAGACAACTTCAAGTGTATCAACATCTGAATTATAGGGGTGCTAGAAGAAGAGAGAGAGCAAGATATTGAAAACCTATTTGAAGAAATAATGACAGAAAACT